AGAGAGAGAGAGAGAGAGAGAGAGCTGCCTGTGTGTTTAAGCGTGAATACAGTTGTGTATTTGAGAGCGATTGTATGTACCCGGTATATGATAGAGTTTCGAGGGTATTGCGATACAGTATCTTGAGTAATAACTCTTGTTTGCGTTTTTGCCTCTTAGGCACTGCCGCTGATTGGGCTGTGTTTTTTGTCTATTCGTTGCATGTTGTTCTGTTGTGTGTTTGTTTGCTTGCTTGTTTTGGGGTGGGTTTTTGTTGTTGTTGTTGTTGTTGGGTTTTGTTTTGTTCTTTTTGGTTTTTTGTTAGTTTTTTGTGGTTTTGTTTTGTTTTTTGTTTTTTGTTACTTTTGTTTTTTTGGGGGGGCGGTTGGGTTTTTGTTTTGTTTTTTAGCTGGCTTGAAGAAGCGTAATTGGAGGAATAGATAGGTATTCATAAAAGAGCTTGATGTATCGTAATCATTACTGTACCCAATAGAGCGTGGCAATTATGCGTGCTTGTTAGTCATGCATGTCCACGGGGGAACATCCTACTTCTCAACTCCCCCTTTCCGCGACACGCAACGTACGACTTGTTCGTTCTATTGTGTGTTTTGTGCTTTAGGGCAAATCATTATCTTCTTCCAAGTTTTATTATTTTGTTTGTCTTTCTCTCTGTCCCGACACTGCGAGAATAATTACGCCTCCACGCACATTTATAGTATGTGATTCAAGATGCAGTTCATGTACCCGGATGAATATCATTCTTTTTTTTTATCCTTTCGTTTCATTTTAAGGTTTATTTTTCCTTTTCTCAGATTTTTCTGGTGCGGTTCAATTCAATCTGTCAGACATTTGCTGCACTAATTCACACTGATGATGACAGCAGCAAGTGCCAGCATCATCATTGTTACGTGTGATGCCAGTTAACAGCGGCGATTATTCACTCACCCTCCTATTCTGTCTGCCTCTGTCTGTCTCTCTGTCTGTGTCTCTGTCTCTCTCTCTGTCTGTCTCTGTCTCTGTCTCTCCCTCTCTTTCTCTCTTTCTATCTATCTATCTATCTTTCTATCTATCTATCTATCTATCTATCTATCTATCTATCTATCTATCTATCTATCCCCT